CGTGGTACGAAAAAATGACGCCCCCGGGCGCAATATAATCCCTATATATCTAGATATATATATACGCCAGTAACGCCACTATTTATGAGATCTAATAATAATATAGAAGGAAATATGACAATTTGGTTAAAATAGATTTTGATCCAATCAATTCAATTAGATTCAAAGAAATCTTTGAGAGTAGAAGTAGAAGTAAATGCATTGAGAATATAAACCAATTGCCTTGTTACCAAAATTTTCAAAGATTATTGAGAAATTAGTCTATAAAAGATTAAATGAGTTTTTGCTTCTTAATGATGTTTTGATCCCCAGCAATTTGGCTTCCGTAAAAATTGCTCCACTACTATGGGTGTTTTAAATTTGATAAATACAATAATATGTGCAATTGAAAGCGGGAATTATTGCCTTGGTATATTTTTAGACTTGTCAAAAGCATTTGACACAATTGATCATGATATACTCTTAAGAAAGCTCAAACATTATGGTGTTCGAGGTATAGCATATTGGTTTAAAAGTTATTTGGAAAATAGATTACAATTTGTTGTCGTTAATGGTGCCAAGTCTCAATCTAGCAATGTGAAGTATGGTGTAGGCCTACCTCAGGGATCTGTTCTTGGCCCATAGCTGTTTTTGATTTACATTTATGATATTATTAATTCATCTCAATTATTTACATATTCTCTTTTTGCTGACGATACATGTTTGTTATATTCTCATAGGAATGTACACTCTCTTATGCAGTCAGCTAATACTGAAATTTGTAGACTCTTTACGTGGTTTTGTTGTAAAAAAAACTGTTATTGAATACTGGTAAAACTCAATGTGTAGTATTTAGGTCTAGAGGGAGGAAAATCCCTGAAAATGTTCATCCCTTAGTTGTTGGTGGTCAACAGATAGTCAACATGTGCTATTTCTTGGTGTTACGGTTGATGAATATTTATCATGGAAAGAACATCTTGATAATGTATGTACTAAAGTGTCTCGCTGTGCCGGAGTAATATCCAAACTTCGTTATTTCCTCCCCCAGTACACCTTAGTTACTTTATATAGTATTTTGAATGAATTTTCACTTCTTGTCAGAATTGTGTGATTTTTATTGATCGGTTAGCCAAGTTTTCTGAGAAAGCTTTATAGTTATACTGCTAATATACTTAATTAACAGGTTAAGCAAAATTTAAGGTTTGACAAATATTTGGTTTGGTAAATTCATTTCTATTTATGGGGAATCACAGAGATGGTTAAAGTTGCTAGTTTGATATTTCTTTTGAAATTTGTTTGAACCTGTAGGTTTGTAAATCAAATTTGCTCACAATGTCACTGTTTTGTTTCTCCAAATTTCTACATATAGTGAGCATACAGATATGACTAGGGTCAATTCTATTCTAATTTGACCCTTTGAAACCTCTGAATAGTATCAGGATTAGTTGCCAATTATAAAGTTGTACACCAGAACACATTATTTTCTAGTTTCAATCTTTGATTTCATGGAACTGGAGATTTTATAAGTAATTATTTTCTTTTTCTTTGACAGACAATCAGCCATCTGCTGCGGTGCAGTTTGCAGTGGTGGTCTCCGCAAAGCCAATTACGCAGACGGTTTTATTCATAAAAGACCACAAGGAGCTGGCGAACTTTTTCATAGAGACTTTGACAAATGAAGGAGATACCGAACTGGATGACATGGACAATAATGGTGAATAACCTTATAATGCTAAACAGATTGCAAATGTTTGCTTTTATTATTAATTCCCTCTTAAACAATTCTGAAAAAATGACTTCTTTAAATTGTTCAATATTGACCTAATGTTATGTAACCCCCCCCCCCCCCCCCCCCCCCCCATTTAAATGTATTAAAACCAAACAATCATAATTACCTCTTGGGAAATCAAAATCATGAATCATATTTTTTTTTTTGGGGGGGGGGGTGATGATTAAAATTAACTCCTTGTCAGATAAAGGAGATGGCAAAGTGTTTTGTTGTCTGCCTTGATTGAAACTACAGGGTAAGGGCGAGGAAGTTTGCCAATCCAGTGTTTTGGGTATCATGCGTAGCAGGGGCAGATCAAGCCCCCCCCCCCCCCCCCCCCCCATTTTACTTCTAAAAAAAGCTAAGAAATATTTACAAAAATAGAGAGACAGAGGTAGGAGAGACAGAGGTAGGAGAGACAAAGGTAGGAGAGACAGAAGGAGAGACAGAGGAAGGAGAGACAAAGGTAGGAGAGACAAAGGTAGGAGAGACAGAAGGAGAGACAGAGGAAGGAGAGACAAAGGTAGGAGAGACAGAGGTAGGAGAGACAGAAGAAGGAGAGACAGAGGAAGGAGAGACAGAGGTAGGAGAGACAGAAGAAGGAGAGACAGAAATCACAGATCCACAACTGTTGCGAATGGACGAATATTCATTTAGTGATTAATTAATACAAGATTATATCTAATTGGTAGTTGTTGTAAGTTGATTCATTGCTCCATTAATTATTTTTATATCTTGTTATGAAATGTAAATTCTTTGCCTGAACGCTAAAACATTTTTACAATACACAAACTTGGTTTTTATTTCAAATAGTATGAGACTACCAGTTAGTGCCCAGTAAATATACATGTACCAGTTAGTGCTCAGTTGTCTTGTTATATAACAAGTTCTCATACAATATACCTTATACTTGTTAGTGCCTTGACCGTGTTGGATTGTACATCAGATACCTTTGATCTTTAATCATTTTTTTAGTTTGTACTTTCATATTTCGTTTATTTTGATAGCTGGTAGCCAAGGAGTATGAAATTTTATAGGTTATACATTGATGGCATAATTTGTATTTTATTTTAGCTAGTGCTCAGTTGTTGTTCGTTATATAACAGTGCCCTGACACATATACCAGTTAGTGCCTTGACCGTGTTGGATTGTACATCAGAAAATTTTAATCTTTAATCAGTTTTTTTAGTTTGTAATTGCCAGATCTTTTATCAGTTGTTTTAAGTTTGTAATTGCCAAATCTATTGATCTTTAATCAGTTTTTTAGTTTGTACTTGTACGTTATACCAACCTACAGGGCATTAAATGGTATAAACGTTATACCAACCTACAGGGCACTCAATTTATACCGCTTAGTGCCCTGTAGGCTGGTATAACATTTATACTATTTAGTGCCCTGTATGTTACGTGCCCTGTAGGTTGGTAAAACGTTTATACCATTTAGTGCCCTGTATGTAGGTATAACGTTTATACCATTTAGTGCCCCGTACACTGGTATAACGTTTATACCATTTAGTGCCCTGTAGATTTGTATAACGTTTATACCATTTAGTGCCCCGTACGTTGGTATAACGTTTATACCATTTAGTGCCCTGTACATTTGTATAACGTTTATACCATTTAGTGCCCCGTACATTGGTTTAACGTTTATACCATTTAGTGCCCTGTACACTGGTATAACATTTATACTATTTAGTGCCCTGTAGATTTGTATAACGTTTATACCATTTAGTGCCCTGTAGGTTGGTATAGCATTCATAACATTTAGTGCCCTGTAGGTTGGTATAACATTTATACTATTTAGTGCCCTGTAGGTTGGTATAACATTCATACCATTTAGTGCCCTGTTGGTTGGTATAACATACAATTAGTGCCCTGTTGGTTGGTATAATATGTATACTATTTAGTGCCCTGTACATTGGTATAACGTTTATACCATTTAGTGCTCAGTTAATAGATGCATTTATCACATCCTAGAAATGTTTGTACAATAACAAGTCATATATCTTGTAATTTTTGTTGTTGTATTTTTAACATTATCATATCCTTTGTACTATGCATATTTGTCAATACCGAATGTCTTGCTTTACAAATAAAAATAAAATTACCAAAACAAAATGATTGAAGGCCTTTTTAAAAAAATTATTTGTGGCTCTTAATGCATTAACAATTCATGAGTAATTTATAAATTAATGATTTTGCAATACATGAACTATTTTAAGATTAGGCAGAACCATCACTAAAAGGGTAACAATAAATTTGTAATTAATTCTGGCTACTGGTATCTTCAACATAAGCATCGAAGAAAATTAAAAGACAAAACCCAGAACTTGAAAAACTAAACAATTTTGGTGTAAATCTGGATTTCTGCTGTCTAGCAGATTGAAATAATTTGTTGTTATATTGCTAAGTTTATGCCTCATTTTATGTATTGTAATATTGCTTGGGGTCACAACTACATATTTTGCCTTTTGATTAATTGGTATCTCTTAATTGCTTAATATTTATGTTTAAATGTCAATCTCTCCAATATATCATTATCATACTCGTCAGAGTAACCTTATCCATCAGTCATACGCCAGGACCCATACAGCCTTAAAATCATTTAGAACTGTTTGTGTTAAAAAGTGGAATAAGTTACCCCATAATATAATTAGTAGTACTACATTGTCTTGGTTTAAAATATCTTGTAAAAAACATCTTTTCGACAGATTGCTATCAGATATGAGGTAGCCAGGTATGAAGTGTACGTTATGTGTGTGTGCGTGTGTGTGAGTGTGTTTGTGTAGTGTTGTAATTGGGGGGTGGGGGGGGGGGGTATACTCAACTGCATGTTTTGTTGTTACATTGCTGTTACATACACATGAGTTATACTCGTAAATATGTTACTCCTTGCCATTATAATTATACCTAATCTATAGTCTACTGTGTAAAGGGGCCCCGTTCACAAGCTGTGTTTCACTTGGGTCCCAAACTCCTATCATTCTTGTGTTCCTTGCTGTTATATATCTTGTACCATTGTTTATGTTTGATTTGGTTTGAATAAACTTAAACTTGAACTTGATCTTGAACTTGAAGTAGTTTATTACTGCTATTTTTATGAAACAAAAACAAGTGAATGTTTAGGGACGCATCATGTTGAGAACTTGTTAAAAATCTTAATTTGATACGAGTCGTGTATGCTCGAGGGGCGAATATTTAGAATCTATACCGCATTTGCGCTTTTCATGTTGACACAGGTCTCTTGGGCGATTCTCTTACACGTTCTCTCTTATCATATTTATTTCGCTCGACATCTATCTAGCTTATCATATAATCCACGCCTATGTCGGGCCACTGAACGTGGAATTTATTCCACAACCAGTCACAAATAAACTTATGTTGTAGCTGATCAGATCATATCGACGTGTGGATGTATTTTTAAAGACTACATGGATAGAGCTGTGAGATTGATTTACTGAGAAAGGAGTAAACTGGATTGAGATCAGGCATGAAGAAGAAATTTTCGTCGCTGCTCGGCCGTTCTTACACGGTCGGCCGATTGCAAGTCTCTGTCGAGGAGGTGATTGCAGAAGGTGTGTATTAACCAAAGACAATGGAGAGCAGTGTCATGAATGTGTAGGCCTACTGTTGATTGGATGGATGTGGTTGCTTTGAATTCTGGTATAGGCCTAGATCTTTGTCCAATTCTTTAATTAAGCAAGGCCAAGAGATTGTTGAGTTGTTGTGTTGCTCCTCGAACCGATGATGATGATTGATGTGGATGTTAGTTGTAATGTTATTTTTAGACCATGTTTTAAAAAAAAATATAGGCAAGGCCTATTCGCACACGGGTGCTCAACCAATCAACGGGCCGTTATTGTACTAATTATTGATCGATTATTTGACCGCCGGTCAACCCGTATGAGTATAAAAATACGCTTGCTTTAGGCCTAATACAATATTTATCACCTGACAAAGTGTTGCAGTGGCGCACGAAACGTTACTAGATCTAGCAATATTATTTTTTATTTTATTTTTTTTATATTTTTTTTTATTGGACTTTAAAAATAAAGAGTTGCTATTAATCGCAACTTATTTGCGATTGAAATCAATCGCATCTATGGCTGTACATTAGAGATGGGAGACTTCAAACTTGTGATGGATTTGAAGACTTGCGATTGATTTGGATCAATCGCAACTCTTTGGGCTCCATCATATTTCTTCCTTTATACAACTAAGTCTATTATCCTTTTTGTTTGTATAAACGCATCCTAAAATGAGTACAAAATGTAACATGCCAAATATACTGATGTATTATACAACATGTGAAATATGAAAATAAACTGAAACTGAAACTGATGAGCTCAGGAAGGGGATTTTCTCTTTGTAAAATCTAGTTATAAGTAGGGTGTCTGATCGCGCACCCGATGTTGTGTGCTAAAATTCTTCCCATAGAGATTACACGCATCCCTATGCAGTCTACGTGCATTGCGCGACCATGCAAAAAAAGTCAATTTTTTTTTTTCAATTCGAGATTCAAACCTTTATCTGTTGTGATCCTGAAGGTGATAATCAATAAATGAGGTGTCATATGAAAGAGCAGGTGAATTCCAATATTTCCCAAGGGGCGTAGCCCCCGAAATTCTAAAAATATCTTGGTCAAAACAGCAATTGAAACATTGTGTCCTGGCTAACTCTGAGGTTTGTCACTTTTGAGATATGACGCCCCGATCGATAAGTAGTCCCAGTCCTAAGGAACAATTCTATGTGCTTATTTTTTCGCTAGCCCCCAGGGATCACAACTGATAACAGTTTAAAAATACCCTTCTCGCTATTTGGTGGATCAGCTAATTAGGGGGCGTGCGCTCCGCTCAGTCCAAACCATGGTTACATCGCGTAACATCTCCGCGTACGAACGAAACCCCAAATTCAAGTATGGGTGGCCATTCGCGGCATAGAACCCGGAAGTGAATACACGTTATAGTCAATGGCAATATCGCGGAGACATCTCCGCGATATTGCCATTGACTATAACGTGCATTCACTTCCGGGTTTATTGTGCGACGAACGCCAACCATACTAGTCAATGGCACATGTCGCGGAGACAGCGTAGCTCAAGCTGCAAGTCGCGGATTGGCTTAGCAGCATGCGTACGATATGCATACGCTTGCATATCGCGCGATACAGCTGTTTGGCTAAATTTAGCAAAACAACATCACTCTGCGTGGACGTCTTTTTCGTCGATTTTGACCAAAATGATATGAATATACCAGCGTCTTGGAGGGGCTGTAACTTTTGATAGAAACATCGGTGAGACTTGAAATTTGAAATGTATTATTCTGATAACATTTTTCATTCAAATATCAAACAAAAATGGTGAAAAACGATCCCAAATTGAAAATTGAAAAATCGTTCAGACACCCTATTATAAGGTTAATGCCCTCTTGACTCTCAGCAGGCTACATTGATTTGTGTTCAATCATCACAAGAATACACCCGATACCCGATGGTGGCCTGTACTTACAGCAAAGAAGAAGAAAAAGAAGTGTTTCATGTACATCCCTGTAATTGTTTTTTTAGTATTTGATGGCCCAAAACTTTCACATTTTCGGAATTTTTCAATTTTTGACATTTATCGGCATCAAAATAGTTTCAAACATTAACTACAACAACTTCAAATGAAAGAATTATCCAAGGTATGAGTGATTTTAGGTATCAGAGTGCTCAAAATTTCAAATTACAACGGTAAAAAAAAAAAAGATTTAAAAAAAAGAACAAAATAATAATAATAATAATTTTGAACCTATAGTCTATACTGTTTGTCGATACCGATCAAAGGTGCCAGGGTGTCGCTCCGATCTTCCGATCCGATCAAAGCCCCAACTTTAACAGGGTATAGTTTCTGTACATGAACATAGGGCCTACAGTACATGATGTACATGTACAGATCAGGCCTTTGTGAATTTTTTAGCGGTGAGAAAGGAGAGTTGCCATAATTTGGCCTTAAACATATATAGGTCAGTAGACGATTGTCATCATGGTTACTGACATACATTGTAACAATTTCCTGAGCACTTCCAAGCTTATTTGCAGGCACAAATCTATTATATTGTATGGCTGCGATCAAAATCCTCATGTACATCTGTAATAGCTGGATAGGCCTAAACCTGCCTAGACTTTGATACATTTTCCAGGGACAAGCTTCTCTTTCCTTCTTGTTCTTTTATAGTGGACTCCAGTCCACATCTATGAAGCGACACATATACATGCTAATGAAATATATTTATGTAAACTGTTAGTTTAAATTGTATCTGTCATCATTTAGGAAGAATAATATTATTCTTTCATCAATTTTTGTCCCCTGAATGAAAAATTGTCTGAAAGTACATATATGTACATGTACATTGTACATGTGTAATTTTGTAACTCATGTGCATAAAATTAGTGCTTTAAACTTTGTTTAAGGAATGGACATATTCATCTACATGTACATTGCAGTGGCGGATCCAGGGGGGGGGGGGCCGAAACGGCCGCGGCCCCCCCTATTGGCAGCGCAAACAAAAGAGGAAAAAATAGAAAGGAGAAGAGGAGAAAAAAAGGAGAAGAGGAGAAAAAAAGGAGAAGAGAAAAGAAAGGAGAAGAGAAAAGAAAAGAGAAGAGAAAAGAAAGAAGAGAGAGAGAGAGAAAGAAAAAAAAAGAAGAAGATCCTCCCCCCCCCCCCCCCCCCCCCACCTCACTCCCACTCCGGGGTCGGAGGGACCGATTTTGTGTTCCCAAAATTTCCGATGAAGGGTTACTTTTCACGCAACAAAGTCCGGCCCGTAATACACACAAATCCAGCCCGCACTGACTCTACACACCGAAGATAAAGGGGTGCTTTCAAACTAAGAGAGGGAACATAAATGCGCATACCCTAGATAATACTGAGTGGGTGGGGGGGGGGGTGGGAAGGGGAAGAGAAAAGTCGGGTGAGAAAGGGGGAAAGACAAGGAAATGGCGCTAAGTGACAGTAACGACGAATAAGGGAAAAACTGTAATCGGGAGATTTGGGGTCATTCCAGAAGGCTTGGGAAACGTTATTGAATAGAGGGGGCCGGGCCGGCCGCATATAATCTCGAGCCACGGATTCAAAGTTAAACGTTACAAACAGCCCCTGCTTTTTGAAAAAAATTGAAAAGGGCACAATGTTTTGGATGTCTTTCAAATAGAAGCTATATACTTCACAGTCAAATTTTAAATTAACGGTAGAGCCGCTTCACAATTCTTATTTTGCCCTTCATTTGGATTCAGCTCATACCAACTCGCTTGTGCTTATATTTGAACTCATAGTGATAATGGACAGCGGCGGCGATCCTGGGCCCGATAGAGAGACACGTCCCCCCGGAAATTTAGATATATAGCTAGAAAGAAATATACATGTAACGGAAAGAACGTACATATTGGACTAAAGGATTTTCTAGAATGCATAATTTCAGCATTCTACATTGCAAAATCTCGCTTGGTCGCTCCGCTCCGGCCCTCGCCCGATAACACAAAACTAAGATATATGACGCTCCCGGTCGCGATTATTTCATGGTTGGTGTATACATAGATTTTTTTTCCCCTTTCATTTCTACTGACCTAATTGTATGCTATCACAATCATGATTGTTTCATTTTCCCTTTAAAGCATGCGTAGCTAGGGGCGGTAGGGGCAGTAAGAGGACATACATGTAGGACGAAAAAAGAAGCAGACAAAGAAACATTTTTGACAAGTCTAAAACGGGACAACAAATCATTTTCTAATTTAATGAATAAATTTAATGAATAATTTAAAGAAACGTTAAGCTTCTGCGCTTTGCGCTGGAGGGGAAAACTGAATTCAGAGAAGGATTAAGAGTCGGGAATGGAACAACGAATCATCTTCTTTCTCTCATAATTTAATGAAGCGTCAGAAGCTTACGCGCTACGCGCGGAAGGAGGAAAACTGAATTCAGACAAGGATTTAGAGTCGAGAATGAAACAACGAATCATCTTCTTTCTCTAATAATTCAATGAAACGTCAAAGCTTCCGCGCTTTGCGCCGCGGGAGAGGGGGGAACTCAATTCAGACAAGGATTAAGAGTCGAGAACGGTACTCTTTCTCTAATGATTCAATGAAACGTCAAAGCTTCCGGGTATGGAAACTGAATTCAGACAATGATTAAGAATCGAGAACGGTACAACGAATCGTCTTCTTTCTCTAATAATTTAATGAAACGTTAAGCTTCTGCGCTTTGCGCTGGAGGGGGTAATCTGAATTCAGAGAAGGATTGAGGGTCGAGAATGGAACAACGAATCATCTTCTTTCTCTAATAATTTCATTACACTATAAAAGGTCAAAGCTTCCGCGCTTCGCGCGGGAGGGGGAAAACTGAATTCAGACAAGGAATAAGAGTCGAGAATGGTACAACAAATCATCTTCTTTCTCTAATAATTCAATGAAACGTCAAAGCTTCCGCGCTTTGCGCGGAGGGGGGAAACTGAATTCAGACAATGATTAAGAACCAAGAACGGAACAACGAATCGTCTTCTTTCTCTAATAATTAAATGAAACGTCAAAGCTTCTGCGCTTT